TATATATATATATCGACTGATTGACTGTTAGAACAAAAAATTCATTAATTCTGTGATGATTTTATATACAGCGATTTATACTTTGAAAACTCGCTGATCTGTAAGCAGTTTTCTGATTCTTATTGACATTGTTGAGTGAATTTCTACAAAATTGGGAAAATATCACTCGTAGCGTTCTGTAATAATTCCAGAAATATAAAGTGTATCATAAAAATCCAAAATATATCATAGGAAATATGCATAAAATAAAATTCCATCTATAGATTTTGAAGTCACAAGTTGAAAGGTTCATAAATTTTTTTTAAAAAAATACAAAGGAAAAGCATGACGCAAGCATGATGCAAGGGGTTTGTTGGTGACGCAGAAGGTACTACATCTTCTCTAAACTAGAACCTTTTTCTAATACATGTCATACTGGAAAATCTTGCCAAGCATGATTTTGGACTCATTAAACTTTTTTAATATTTTTTTAAATCTTTTTTTTTCTGATTTCTTTCTATCCTTACCTAAAAAGATTTTTTTTATACAAATAACTCTTTCATTCTCGTAATTTTTTCTCACCATCATTTTACTCAAAAATTAAAAATACAAGTCAATCACGTGTAGGATGTTTATTGTCAGGATGGGTGTTGCACTTTGAGCCCTGCAGTCCCTACCATGTAACCCATTAAGCATAATATGCTCTCGAAAATGTTCTTTAGCGTTTAGCGACTGATTTTAATTTTTGTTACATTTATTTACTTTTTTAAGTTGCATTTTTTTCATCGAATTTTCAAATTTTTATTAATTATTTTTTTTTAAATCGAAAAATTTTTTTAATGAAAAAAAAATTTTTTTTTTAAATTTTTGCAGAGTAACTCTTATAGTCAATATGCAAAATTGCTTTTCTAGAGCATCTATTAAGATTAATTGGAGTGAAATTAATGAAATGTAAATAATATAATAATGAATGAAATATTGTTATGAAAATTATTCATGCAGCGAGTGATTAAGAATTTGTTAATAATGAACAAAAATAAATTCCAGTCTGAAGTAGATTTTGAAACCTAGACTCCATATTTCCCCACAACACCTTTTTTTTAATACTATAGTCTCTTTTTAAATGTATTTAATTCGTTGTATTAATAACTTATTAACCATAACAAATTCATATCATATTTAAACTTAGCATCCAAAATTTTAAATTGATATCAAAATATTATTTTTAGTGACTTTTCCTATAATTACACAATGCTGAATACACAAATATAAATTAATTTATATAATATACACAAATGGGCTTTACTCAGTAACCCCCACGATTGCTTCGCAGTATTTTTTGTTTCTTGATGATATACATAGACTGCGACGCCAGAATTAAAAAGTAATCAATTAACAGACTTGAAAATTTTTAATTGTAGGGTACACTGTTAAAAATGGCTACTCACAATTGAACAAATATAAATCAAAATAACTCCGAAACAAATAATAATCGAATTTTAAAGCCCCATAGATTTAAAATTGTAACAGCAACAAAATGCTTAGTCTCAAAAGTAGTGTGGTGGGAGAAATGTGTGGGAGAGTTGCTTGTTGGTGGCCTGCAGAATACGAAACAAAGACGGAGAAATGTGTGGGAGAGTTGCTTGCTGGTGGCCTACAGAATACGAAGCAACAACGGAAAAATTTGTGGGAGAGTTGCCTGTTGGTGGCCTGCAGAATACGAAACAACGACGGAGAAATGTGTGGGAGAGTTGCTTGTTGGTGGCCTGCAGAATACGAAGCAACAACGGAGAAATGCGTGGGAGAGTTGCTTGTTGGTGGCCTGCAGAATACGAAGCAACAACGGAGAAATGTGTGGGAGAGTTGCTTGTTGGTGACTTGCAGAACACGAAGCAACAACGGAGAAATGTGTGGGAGAGTTGCTTGTTGGTGGCCTGCAGAATACTAAACAACAACGGAGAAATGTGTGGGAGAGTTGCTTGTTGGTGACTTGCAGAACACGAAAAAACGATTGGTTTCGTAATAGAATGTTCAATAGTGGTAAGTTCTGAATAGTTAGTTTAATTTAAATTTTACAATAAGCATCATTTTAGAAACGTGGTGGCACAGGGATGGAGCGCTTGCCTTTCAATGAGGTGAACCGGGTTCGAATCACAGCGATGTCTGGTTGATACGAATTCTGCACCCGGCTCGCACCGACCACAATGCTGACGTAAAATAACATCAGTGGTAGTCGGATCATGAGTTAGAGTACCCTTTCCATCAACCTAACCGTGGGAGATTTTTGTGGATTTCCTCTCCATATAACGTAAATGCTGGTTAGTTCCATTAAAAAGTCCAGTACGAAGGCAAATTTCTCCCAATATTTGATTTAGTAGTTCCCTTGTCGTCTGGATTGGGTTCAAAATTACAAGGCTGTGGAGGTGAACATTAGTAGTCGTAAACCGAAAATTGGGTCAGCAGTTCAACGGCGGTTATAAAATAAAATAAATTTCTGAATTATTTAGATTTTACCTTTAGTTTAAACCAGAATTTGTACTCATAACACCGAAAAACTATTGATGGTTATAAGTAAAAGCGCTTTTTACAATTACTATGAAAATTTTATTGAGATGGCAAAAAATAGTCAGTTTTTTTTAACGTTTTGTTTTCTTTCTAATTTTTAACGTCACACTTTAAAATGTAGTTTTGGTATTTCCCTAAAGGAGTATTCTATTTCTTTTATTTTGCGTCATATAACTTTGCTACATCATCCTTCATTGTTTACTAAGATGTAGTGATTGTATTTGCGATGGAAACTTAATATGTATATTTGGAATGAATTATGATCAATATACATGCAATCACATAAAATGTTTTCTTGCACGAATGCTCATTGTCATTTGAACGTACTTATGCGAAACAGCATAATTTATCCTTTGTAATCAAAAAACATAAGCAACTGGATTACATTGCGTGGTTATTAGTAATTACCTCAACTTTGTTATTAGCAATTATTCCATCCTTACGTGACATTGATATGCATTGACTGTGAAGGCCAGTGTTAAATTTGCTTTGTTACATAAGTATTAAATACAAATCTACTACTAACAAATATAGTTAATGCTTAATATAACTTCATACTTCCGATAGAGGTACCGTTATATTCAAAAAAACTTCTTAGAAAAATATTTTTAATATCATTATTAAATTTTATTTATTAATTATTTTTTTAAAAATTTATTTATTCATTTTTTTGTTGGTTTCAGGGATTACGTTTAATTTTAGATTCCTAAAATTTTATGAAATTTGGACTTTTCTCAATTTAAGAGAAAGTATTATTTAGAAGTATTATTAAGATTCTCTTAGGATTTATTTAATACATTTTGTAATCCGCTTGAACCTAGACATTCGAAAATAATAATATATTAATTGGCATTCTGATTTCCGTGGAATAAATCAATGCAAATGCATACATGTAAAGATAAAATTTAGTTTTATATTATTTTTACAGATGGCAGCACTAAAGTTAGATCATAGATTTATTTGAAGAGTGTGGGCAATAGAAAAACGAAAATTGTTAAATTAAGGGGGGAGGGGGCTTCTTTCAACAGTGTTTTGGGGGAAAACACCACGTTGTCTATTTAGGTATTTGAAATAAGACCTTTTTTGTGCAGTGTGCCTCAAATTTGTCCAATTCCTGGTAATGATATTAAGGAATAGTTTGATCTAAGAATGACACCAATTTAAAAAAAGTTACATCACAATGTTGTCGCGCTCTCTTCAATTTAAGAATCTTAATTTTCTTAACATCTTTCTTTTCTTTTTCATTTTGTTATCATTCATTTCATTATTACTATAAATTTTTTTGGAAAACTTGTAAAATAACGCAATATCTGTGAAGAGTAAGAAGTTTTAGAAATGAGGGATTTTTATGCAAAATTCACATTTGTAAATTATTACACAACAACGGAATAAACGTATGGTCAGAGAGTTATGCATAAACACCATTTCATTCAATGATTGTGTAAGAAATTAATTACTTATAAATGCGCAAGCATAAAATATATATTGGGTAAAACTTTTATTGAAAGAAGCATGTCAAGCTTTTAATTAACCCTTAATTGAAATCACTTTCACCAT